CAGTATGATGCATCTCCTCTAAGTGAGTATGGAAAGAACTTGCAGAAGAGATAATTATTGGACACACCATTGTACTTGATACTTGTCACCAAGTCCTCAAATCTCTCGATGTGGTCCATGAGCTGTTCATGAGGAAGACCATGAAAAGGTTACTGAGCCACAAGTGTGTAGTAAACTGGCTTCAACTCAAAGTCATTCTTCTGAAAAGGAGATGGGCAGATTGCAGCTCTGTAAGCGTAGAACTGATCATGCCTATTGTAGTCTCCTAGAATCCTCCCACGCCCAACAACGTTCACTCCAGCAGGTGGTGGATCTCACTGTGCAGCTGCTTGAACTGCTTGTTCAACTGTAAAAGCGCCATTCTCATCAACTCTCTGCCCCTCTTCGTTCCTTCTATTCCCCTCTCTGTCAACCAAGTGACCTTCTGCATCTGCAATCAGGACGATTGGATCAACCATTGTAGTTTGCTTCTTAGCTTTCCTGATTGTTCTCTCCAATTGAGCGAGTTCGTCGATGCTCAAAGTCACAAGCTCCTTTTCTTTGTTGCTTATGGTATTGCGATTATGCATACACCTGAAACAGACATAAGAAAAGTTGCAAAAAAGTTAGTAAACAAAATCAAACTTAGTCAAAATCCTAATACTAAAAATCTGTAGGCAGCTATAACTCTCTGGCAACGACGCCAAAAACTTGATAGGGGTCTAGTTTTACCCAGTTTCAAGTATTACTGCAAGGACACAACAATGCAGTTGTACACAAAAGGGTTATCGAATCCTAAGGGAGTAAGCTAATACACTACATAATTTAGATTCAGATTATGCTAAGTCGAAATGAGTGAATGTAAACCAAAATAACTAAATAAATAAAAGGAGGCGATTTGATGATTGTTTCTAAAGTTCACGAGGCTAAAAACGCTAGGCCAGGATAATTTGCAGGTTGAATCCGAGAGTGAAGAATGCATGCAATCAGGAAATAAATGAAACCGTCTAGAACTCGAAACATTGATTTATAGCCAATCTATTCTCAATGCATAAGTTATCTATGCTTGAATTATTAGTATTTGCAAAGAGATTTGAAATTCTGGAATGTAGGCATAGATAACTTCTGCCAAGAGAATTGATTAGTTTCGAGTTCTAGACGGTTTTATTTATTTCTTTATTGCATCTATTCTACATTCTCATATTCAACCTGTGAATTATCATGGCCTAGTGTTTTTAGCCTCGTGAACTTTAGAAACAATCATCAAATCACCTGCTTTTATTTATTTAGTTATTTCGCTTTACATTCACTCATTTCGACTTAGCATAATCTGAATCTAAATTCTATAGTGTAGTAGCTTACTCCCTTAGGATTTGATAACCCTTTTGCGTACAACTGCATTGCTGTGCCCTTGCAGTAATACTTTAAATTGGGTAAAACTATACCCCTATCATGCAAGTATTGAACATATCAGATAGAGACAACCTGGGGCTGAAAGAACTTTGGTTATAATACTAATAATGATACAAGCACGGGTCTTTCATTCGGATGCTACAATAAATGGACAATAACTGCCATCAGTGTTCCTAGGATTTGATCTGATTAGATGAGAACCTCGAGTTCAGTCGGATCGGTTGAGATTGTGGAGATGGAAATGTTGGTTAATACAATAACTGAGAAGCTCGAGTTAACATATAGGTGGTCATATGAATGTCGAAGGGGGAAGTGTTGTGGACAACAATGACTGTGTAAGGCCAATGATAAAACACAAGGGTTCTCAAGGCATGGAGTAACTGGTCTCAACAAAGCTTGAAGAAAGAAAAATATCTCGTTTTTTTATTGATAATCAAAGGTATACAATTACAATGTTGCAGGAGAACCTTATATAATAGTTCTTCAGCTTAGAAAAATAGAAAATACAAAAATACAAAAATATATAAGAAAAAGTTATAACAGTCTAAAATAAAACTTATTTTAAGAAAGTATAAAATTTGTTGAATTAATACAAGATAAATAAAGGAAGTTAGTCAAGATAACTGAAATGATTGTAAAGCATACCTATCTTACCTTTGACGTGATTGTTCCGTGACACAAGGTAATGAAATGATGGCTTATCATGACCACGTATTGATTGCTTTCTTAGGCGCTAATCTTTGAAATGGTGAAGACTTGTACGTGAGCTTGCATGGGTAGTATGGGCCATTGTTCTTCTGTCATTGGTCTTGTAACATTACTTGATCCTTGGAACTTCACACAAAGCCCAATCCAATGATGCTCTTGTAGGCTTTCTGGCCCATCTTGACTGATAGCGTGTAAAATGGCTTGATCATACTTGTGTTGCAAGGTTATAGCTCTTTGTTTTGTAATTTTTCCCACATAATTATCTGGCATTTCTACTTCTTCTGTATATTGTAGCTGAGGCTCGATTAAGCAAGGAAAAATAAAGATCTCGCCTCCATTTTTATAGTAGAAACAAAAGGCAAAGAGGTATTCAAAATATCTAGGCCAGTAGCAAAGGATGCAAATATTTATGCCTAAAACTGTGCGCAGAGATTACGCGACTATTGGTAGAGGATGCGACATATCATTATTTTGAGAAGCGAAGTGTTGAAAAGTTGGGAGGAACACGAAACAAGGCCAAAAATGCGGCACAATTTCCCATTGGATGGACGAATAAAAATCTGCCATGTAGACAGTTTTGTTAATTGACAGAAGATGCACATGGAAAAAAAAAGGTACATACCTGGTCCTGGAAGTAAGCAGCAGCAAAAACTCATGACCAACGAGGACGTGGAGAATACAATCCCCGAACCAGAGACTAACTCATCACTAAACAACAACCCGTCTAAAACCAAAGGGGATACTTTTAGTGTCTAACGTTGCTATATAAATGTGGATTCTCCTTATAGATTTTCTCAAGCTTTAAATTTGTAAAGACCATAAGCTGCAATTGCACAACATGCATTGTAATATTTAGAGTTCGAACCAAGGCAAAAAATCTAATACAAAACAAAAGGATATTAGAGCGATAAAAAACACAAGGATTTGTGGGGGTTTTGGTGTCACAGTTATGGTAGCTATTGGATGTGGGAATTGAAAAGCAAAGCAAGTAAAAGTAAACTAAAAGATTTGAAAGTAGATGCGGTAAGAGAAACCAAACTAAAGAGAAACAATAAAACGAAGTGAAAATCAATAAACGAAACGTTGGGCCGAAGGAATTTTACGGGAATTCACAGATCAATTTAGGAAAATAATTGATAGGGTCTAAGTTTTACCCACTTTTGGTATACTGCAAGTGCACAACAATGCAGTTGTAGTACAAGGGGTTATCAAATCCAAGGGAGTAAGTTAATTACACTATAGAGTCCGGGTTCGGATTAAGCTAAGCAGTAAGTAATGTATGTAATGCGAAATAGCAAAATAAATGAAAGCAGGCAAAAATTGTTGATTGATCTAAGTTCAGAAAGCTAAAGGCGCTAAGTCAAAATAATTCGCAGGTTGAATCCGAGAATGTAGAATGCATGCAATTAGGAATGGAGTTAAAACCATCTAGAACTTGAAACATAATGATATAACTAATTAATTCTCACTGCAGAAGTTATCTATGCCTAAATCATAGAATTTCAAATCTATTTGCAAATTCTAACAATCTAAACATGCAGTAATGATCAGGTTCAATTGTTCACGAAAATCCTAAGCCAAATCTCTTTGCAAATAGGCATTTTGTTCATTTAATACTAGTTCAGGTGATTAACAATGTTCTCACATCTAGTAAAAAACCTAGGGTTTCAAAATCTAGATGATTAGTCTCAGAAATCGATATGAATGCAAACACAAATGAAGAACCAATGAATATCCTATTAGTTTAGCAATTCTAACTCTTCATTAATCTTTGAATGATCAACTTAACTAACAAACTACTCAGACATGGTGAATTGAGAAAACATCATGAATAGAATAGATTGCATAAAAGAAATAAGAGATAAAGATAAAGGAGTTCGAAATCTGCTCTGAAGGAGTCTGATTTGTCTCTCCAAATGCTCTGGTAAAAATCAAAAGCTCTCTAGAAATTAAGATTCAAGATAAAAAAAAAACAAAAGAATGGCTGAAAAACCTAATATACAAGCTAAAACACGAGCTGGGGTCTTCTTGTAAATAATAGAACTTCTGGGCCAAAAGTGCAATATCTTCTCCATCTTTTAATACAAGTCGCGATTTTCTTCAGATAAGGGTGACGAGCGTCACAAATAGCAGGACAACAGCTTCCGACTTGCTAACTTCAGGGATGGTTCTTGCAATGATCCAAAAAGCTCCAGAATCTCTAATTATACTCTAGTCAAGCTATAACCTGCAAAGACTCTACTAGGACTCTAAAAAGACCAAAACGACTCCATAGAAAGGACTTATACCATGGTTAAAAACCATAAAAAAAACATGATATATCAATAATTCAATGAGAAGGGTATTTAATTAGACAAGTTTTTTAAACTGAGACACGAAAGTATAATCAACCTATTTTCATAGAATCGTCTAGATATGTCATTTTACTCTGTAAGTATGCCATTCCATCTTACAACGCAACAAAGCATGTAACATAAATGAGTGTATACACTCAAAATGCTTTGTGAGTATGCTTTCGTATCCGAAAATGCAATTATTTTTACCCTAAATCTGACTAATAATGAAAACATGTTTATGGTTTTACAAACCCTAATATCTGAAGCTAGATCGCAAGTTAGCTTACTTGTATTAAGAACAATGATAAATTAAGAACTTTTAAAAGTATTAATAACTCTATTAAGAGAATATCTTAGAAAATATATCATATTCATATTATTTTTTTATTATTAAATATTAGATATAAACTTTCAACCTATTATATAGTGACACATGGTTAAATGCGTTTTTCATAGTCTTTTGTTTGAATAGACATTGTTTTACTTTTCTTTTTCTTTTTCATTATTACTAATTTTTTTAATTCCGAAAGACTTATGTTAGAGATGGATAGAAATTCCCTATCATGAAATACGGTTTGAAAACCTGTTCATAGAGATGTTCCTATTGTTAAATTGGGTTCATTGCTTCTTTTTCCCCATCCCTTGACTTGGCATAATGTAGTAGTAACTAAAAGTATTATTCATTGATCATCCCGTTTTTGAGGGGAAATTATTCTATTTAGTACAGTAAACGAAGCTCCTTATGTTATCTATGGAGCAAGTAAAAGAGTTGTGACATGAGCTTGATCATGGGCATAAAGTGTTCATGCATCTGCGAGCTTCTTGTATTGGGAGGAGAGGCTAGAGCGGAGGAAATCTTGTTTTGTAGGGTTCTTGGTGGTAACGTTAATGAACTTCTGGTACCATTTGCCAGAATCTTTTAAGTTTCTATCAGTAACGTCTGTCCAATTAACGTAACTGAGTCCGAATCTGACGCTAAAGCCTTTACAGAATTCATAATTATCTCCAAGAGCCCATGCAAAGTATCCTTTTATGTTGACATTCTTCTCTCTGCATGGACAATCATAATTAAAAGGATGATGATATCAAACATGCATGTATGTATGTAAAAGAAAAAAGAAAACAACAAGAGTGTAGTAGTAGTAGCAGCTAGCATCCACTCACTTAATGACTTTACTAAGAAAGCAGGGATGACTACAAAGATAGTCAATCCGCTTGGAATCGGCAACAGCCTCCTCACGGGTTTCGGAACCGAGGCTACTAATTCCTAATCAAACCGTCACGGTACATGAACAATTGGTACAATATTTGTTTCAATATATTCAGAGAAATATTGGAAATACACTTAACATGAAAAGATATGAGTAGTAGAACTCACCGTTCTCGGTAATATTAGAGTAAAGGGTCACCGTATCTGGTTTTGAAGTGATCCATTACGTAGTAAATTCCCTTTGGGTAGTAATAGCTGTTGCCGCTTACCTTGTCTTCAGAGAACGGAGAAACAGAGGCAAATATATATAAGCCAGAAGAATTATTTTGCTTAAAGTTTTTATTATGGAATGGAAGAATCATGCATATATATATACCAGTGGACCAGGAACTTCACCACGTGAATTTTCAGCTGTAGACACAAGGATGATGAAATAATTGATGGTCAGTCACACAATATGTTTTGTAATAGAAAGGTTGTAACTAAGTGGTAATATATAGAGTAGTACACGCGAGCTTTACGCATGGGTCCATCATGGCAGTGTGCTTTCGCGAAGGATATGGGTTAGCAGCTGGCTGTGCATACTGAGTGACGTAATAGTTGAGACCAAGAAAATCATATGAACCCTTTACGAGTTTGGCTTCTGCTTCTGTGAAGTTGGGAAGACGACTTCCCACAATTTTCCTCATGACGTCTGGGTACCTACCTTTTGTTAGCGGCTCCATAAACCTGATTCATGTAAAGTACATGGTTATACATGGTTATACCTAAGTTGGGGTTTATATATACAACATATATCAATAATGATTTTAAAAAGACGTTTTCATTTGTTAGTACCATCCTAAGAAGAATTCTTTTATCCTCTCAGTTGCATCTATGCAGGCTTTATCAGTCTCATCATATAGAAGAAACCATCTAGTTATTATCACAGGTCCGATCTTCCCTCCTTGGAACTGTTGGTCATGATATACACACGAATGATATGATTAAATTAGGAATAGCTAGATGTGTAAGATTACACTTTTTTCTTATAAGTCATGAACTCACCTTATATTTCTTCCTATAAAGATCAACCACCGCGGCATGAGCAAGAAGCTGGTTATGTGCAACTATATAGGGTTCTGTTGAAGAATTTTCGCTGTAACATCTCTTATCAATCGCTTGAGAACATCGACCGGGTGCATCTGTCCCGATTGCGTAGCCTCTCATAGGCACTGTGTAGAGCTGGTTGATACTGAGCCAGTTCTTTACCTTTCCACCGAATTCCTTGAAACACAAATCCGCGTAATCTTTGAAATCATCTCTGCGTATATGTTATAGAATCGTTTCATTCATTGCAAGATCAAATCTTTATACGCATGCTGCCATATTTCTTTATAATATAAGAGGCATGGTGGCACTGCACAAATAACATACATGACTTCGCGGCTCAAGAAACCTTCATACTCATCTTGCAGTGTTTGAGGAAGGTCCCAATGAAAGAGGGTAACGAAAGGCGTTATGTTCTTTGCGATGAGGGCATCTATGAGTTTGTGATAGTAATCAAGACCTCCTTTGTTCACTCCCCTTCTCCTTTTTCCTTCTCCTCATTCATGTTTACATATTCGTATATTTAATCTTCCTGAAAATCTTAATCAAAACACAAAGACTTGTATTGTATGTATCGATAATGTGTACATACTTGGAATGATTCTTGACCACGCAAAGGAGAATCTGTAGCCAGTAGCATTCATTTCGATTATCGCCTCTACATCTTTCTGCAGTTTACATATATACAATCAAATATCAATCCACGCCTAGTTGATTAGATAATTCAATTAGTATGTGTTTATAGGAATCAACCTCCCATCTTGTATATGACTCACAAGTAGTGTTTTCATTCCCATGATCTGGTCCTCCTTTCTCTGATAGTAAACAAATACATAATTACTTTAAATAAATAAATATATATAGACCTATTAGTTATGTGACATCCTGGTCCAGTCCAGAAAAAATTTTGTTGATAAAAGTTCAAAACTTTATGCCCAATCCAAAAGTTGACCTAGGGTTCCCCTTCCTTCCAGTATAAATAAAGCTGCTCCCTTTCAGAAGTTTCAGTCAGAAAATTTTTCAGCGAAGCTCTGCCCTGTTCCCGCCAGAATCTCTCACCGGAGCCGCCGCCGCCGTCGCCAGAGTTATCGCCGGAGCCGCCGCCATCGCCAGAGTTGTCATCGGAGCTGCCGCCATCGTCGCCGGAGTTGTCGCCGGAGCCGCCGTCCGCCGCCGCCGAAAAAGTCGCCGGAAAATTGCCAGTCACCGGAAATGTGCTCCTTCGCGTCCTCTTCCCGAATCTGTGATCGTTTCTTCCATCAGACGCCTTGGTGAGCAGATCTGAGTCTTTTTAGTTTTCAGATCTAGATGTACTTTTTCAGATCTAGATCTAGTTTCCTGGATCTACTTTTTCCAGATCTCGATCTATTGTTTTCTAATATTCTCTTCCATTTGCTGTGGGGTCGGACCCATGCCGTCGTAATGCCCAGATCCGTTCGGCGAAGATCCGCAGTAACCAGATCTCCTTCCATTTCTGTTTTCTGCTTCCGATCTGAGACTAAGGTGAGGACTGACGTGATCTATCTCTCTCAGATTCATAGTTATTTCTTACTGAGTAGTCCTTTTGCTAATCTGCGCATACCTGCGTTGTATCTATATGAATACACGCATTTGATTGTTGGTTGAACCTGATTAGTAATGCGTTAATAACACCATAGTAATTATTATTGTCCTGCGGTTGTTGAATGACGAACTTAGTATAATAGGTTGCTAAACGGAATACTGTTGAATGATGTATGAATAGTGTTTGCGGGTGTTTGCATTACATGGGGAAGATCACTTGCGGGTTGGAATTAGATGTAGGAACCTCTTTTGATATGTATGTTTGGATATAGAGGCGTGTGGGACTCTATAGTCCATTGTTGGCGGCTTGACGAGCCCTGCGTCTTGAGGACGAACAGCGTGTGGGCCGCTATATGCCACGGGGTGTGCGCCGGTAAGGGTGTGGATGCACCAGTTAGGTCTAGTGATGTCATTTCTTGATCTATGGGTGTCTTCGGACGTGTTTGCCTGTGTGTATTAGCTTAGGACTTTCGTCTGGAATGGTTATGCATGTGCGAGATGTATATTGTGGGTCCCTAGGACCCGCCCTCACTGAGTATTGTTGAAATACTCATCCCTCTTTTCTCTGCAGGTGAGCGCGTAGACATTCAGGAGTAGTCTTGTGGCTCGGTGATGGTTTTGGGAAGATGCAGGTTTTGTTTTATTATTCGTTATTTATTTTTAAAGACGTTATTTAAATTCAGATTTATTGGTTAAGTGCAATGATCTTTGTAAGACGTTTTGAATACGATCCTTAGGAATAAAAGTGGCATTGAACTAGCAAGTGGTTTCTTGTGGTAAAAGTTAATGCACTTTAACATGCCGTCTTGGTTTTGAAAGAGGCGGGTGTTACAATTGGTAGTAGAGCCTAGGATTGCCAAACCGGTTCTTATCCGGGAGGCGGATTGAAAAAAGAAAAAGTGTTTTCAAAATAAGTTATCAAGTTAGTGATTTTTCTTAAATATATATATATTTTTTTAAAAAACAAGTATTTTTAAAATATTTTATATTTTCCAGTTTATAAAAACATTTATTTACTGATTTATGAAATAAAAAAAAAATTTCTTTTTGGGCAAAAGAGGTATTTAAAAGGAAAAATTGGAAACATCACCTAGCTTGATTTGATCTCCGTGTTCTTCGTGTGTTAGGTGTTTCAGCTTTGTGAAGAGTTTTGAGAGTTTGCTTCTTCTGTGTTCAGGATGCCGCCAAAGAGAGCACGTGTTGTCCGAACCCCGAGAGTTGTGCAACCTGCAGCTAGGTCAGAAAGTGCTGCTTCGACAAAAAGTGTCGAACGGAACAACACTGTGAATGCGCTAGGGGGTGTGGACCCAGCCGGGGCAGCCCAGGGAGGTAACCAAGCTGCTGTGCATGCAGCCATGATGGAGGAGTTGCAGAGGTACCATGACCGTTTTGGGGACCAGATGCGGAATGACCCGGGAATGGGGAATGTGCATCAACAGGCTGCACTGTTGAATGGCCAGAACGGGGGAGTACAATATCAGCCGCCGCCTCCACCACCGGTTGCACATGTACCAGCTCAAAGATCTTCGTACTGGGAAACGTTAACCTTGATGAGGGATATGCAGATGAATCACTTTGACGGGAAGGCGAATGCCTTGGCTGCTGATAATTGGAGGAAGAAGTTGGAGAAGAACTTTGATTCAATCAGGTGTCCACAAGAGTACCGCAAGGACTTGGCTGTGCAGTATCTGGTAGATGATGCCATGATTTGGTGGGAAGGTGTGGTAGAGTCGACGGAAGAGCGTTATGAGTTGACTTGGACTGATTTCAAGGAGGAGTTCACTTTCCGCCAGAGGCCATGGACAGGATGGAGAGTGCTTTTGAACGGATAATCGAACTGTCCGGGAGTATAAGGAGGAATTCAACCGTCTGAGGAAGTTTACAACCAGACGTATGGGCGAGGCAGAGCTGATTCGCAAGTTCATGAAGGGACTGAGAGTTGACCTCAAGAATCGTTGTTCAGTCAGGAAGTATGCCAGCATGGTGGACCTGGTGGAAACCGCTGCAGAGCAGGAAATTGGGTTGCAGGAAGAACTCAAATTGTCCAAGCATGCTCAAGCCAAGAGTGGGAGAGGAGCTGAGAGTCATAAGAGGAATTGGGAGACCACTAACTCGACACCAGCACAAGGGACGGCCCCGAGGGGTGTTGTTTGCTACAGGTGCCATCAACCAAGGCATGTGAAAAGGGATTGTACAGCAGGCCTTCCGCTGAGAGAGGCCAACCATTGAGGAGCACGTGTCATCGCTGTGGGCAGATCGGGCACTTTGCGAGGCAGTGTATGGTTCCGCTTCAAGGACAACAGCTAGGAGGGCAGAATCAAGGACAACTTCAGTTGCCAGCGCCACCAGCAGGACAGCCGGGAAGACCTCGAGTCTATATCGCGGGAGAGCATGGTGGTGTGGAACCAAACACGAGTATGTCATTTCTTACAGACTTATGTGTTCAGTCTAGAGAGTCTTGTGTGAAATTTGAATAGCATGCTTAGTGTAGTACCAACTGTGTGGGATCGGTTTTGTTCTGGGAATCGCCACCCATAAATTGTTTGACACAGGAGCTATGAATAGCTTTGTGTGTTCGGCACTGGCAAAGTGCTGGACCTTCCAAGGCGTGGTTCGTCTCGAGGACGAAAGAGATCGAGATAGTCAGAGTTGAGCTTGTGAAGTCCACTGAAGTTATGAAGAAGTGCCTATGGTGCTGAAGGGCATGAAGTTATGCGGAATCCTTGTGAAAATGGAGCTGGACCATTACGAAGTCATTCTGGGGATGGATTGGGCGATGCTGTGTATTTTAGAATGAGAGCGATCCGAGGAACCATAAGCTGGGAAAGTTTAGGCCAAGGTTCATGGGGTTGTATAAGATCATAGGTTGGACTTACCACACAAGTTTTCAAACTTTCATGATGGGTTTCATGGATAAGTTTTGAGGGTTGTGGTATGGGAACCAGGGATGATCTTAGTTGTGCCGCCAGTGGATGTGGGCTGAAAATTGACAATTACGAGTAAGTCGGTGTTAATCTCAAACTGTCAGGAGTCATAAGTTCAAGAGAAGAAGACCAAGTTGGTTCGTGTTGGTCAGCAAGGGATGGAGTCCGGGAAGAATTTTTTTGGGAGACAAAGGCTGTTGTGCGGGCTTGTTACCAAGAGCTCTTTGGGTCGTTGGTGTTCCAGGGGATGTCGACTTGAATTCGGGGGCGAATTCCCGGTAAGTGGAGGAGAGTTCTGACATCCTGGCCCAGCCCAGAAGAATTTTTGTTGACAAAAGCCCAAAGCCCAGGTCCAATCCAAAAGTTGACCTAGGATTCTCCTCCCTTCCAGTATAAATAGAGCTGCTCCCCTTCAGAAGTTTCAGTCAGAAAATTCTTCAGCGAAGCTCTGCCTTGTTCCCGCTGGAATCTCTCACCGGAGCCACCACCGCCGTCGCTGGAGTTATCGCCGGAGCCGCCGCCGTCGCCGGAGTTGTCGCCGGAGCCGCCGCCGCCGTCACCAGAATTATCATCGGAGCCACCGCCGTCATCGCCGGAGTTGCCGCCGGAGCTGCCGCCGCCGTCGCCGGAGTTGTCGCCAGAGCCGCCGTCCGCCGCCGCCAAAAAAAGTTGCCGGAAAATTGCCAGTCACCGGAAACATTCTCCTTCGCGTCCTCTTCCCGAATCTGTGATCGTTTCTTCCATCAGACGCCTTGGTGAGCAGATCTGAGCCTTTTTAGTTTTCAGATCTAGATATACTTTTTCAGATCTAGATCTAGTTTCCCGGATCTACTTTTTCCAGATCAGGATCTATTGTTTTCTAATATTCTCTTCCATTTGCTGTGGGGTCGGATCCATGCCGTCGTAATGCCTAGATCCGTTCGGCGAAGACCCGCAGTAAGCAGATCTCCTTCCATTTCTGTTTTCTGCTTCCGATCTAAGACTAAGGTGAGGACTGACGTGATCTATCTCTCTTAGATTCATAGTTATTTCTTACTGAGTAGTCCTTTGTTAATCCGCGCATACCTGCGCTGTATCTATATGAATACACGTATTTGATTGTTGGTTGAACCTGATTAGTAATGCGTTAATAACACCATAGTAATTATTATTGTCCTGCGGTTGTTGAATGACAAACTTATTATAATAGGTTGCTAAACGGAATACTGTTGAATGATGTATGAATAGTGTTTGCGGGTGTTTGCATTACATGGGGAAGATCACTTGCGGGTTGGGATTAGATGTATGAACCTCTTTTGATATATATGTTTGGATATGGAGGCGTGTGGGACTCCATAGTCCATCGTTGGCGGCTTGACGAGCCCTGCGTCTTGAGGAGAGGACAGCGTGTGGGCCTTTATATGCCACGGGATGTGCGCTGGTGAGGGCGTGGATGCACCAGTTAGATCTAGTGATGTCATTTCTTGATCTATGATTGTCTTCGGACGTGTTTGAATGTGTGTATTAGCTTAGGACTTTCGTCTGGAATGGTTATGCATGTGCGAGATGTATATCGTGGGTCCATAGGACCCGCCTTCACTGAGTATTGTTGAAATACTTATCTCTCTTTTTTTGCAGGTGAGCGCGTAGACATTCAGGAGTAGTCTTGTGGCTCGGTGATGGTTTTGGGAAGATGCGGGTTTTGTTTTATTATTCGTTATTTATTTTTAAAGACGTTATTTAAATTCGGATTTATTGGTTAAGTGCAATGGTCTTTGACGTTTTGAATACGATCCTTGGGAATAAAAGTGGCATTGAACTAGCAAGTGATTTCTTGTGGTGAAAGTTAATGCACTTTAACATGCCGTCTTGGTTTTGAAAGAGGCGGGTGTTAGAAGTTATACACGTAAATATACAACAGCATGCAAATGACATACATACCTGGGTATCGGTGAGTGAAGCCATCCCAAACGTTTAGACCACGACCTCTGCTTCCTTCGACCTGAAATGAAAAGTAAAAACCATGCAACGTTGGAGTTACGTTTTTTACTAATGGTTTTCTACACAATGTGTAATGATTTGTTACATGCCTGGTACGCAGCAGATGCAACACCGAAAATGAAGTCTTTATCGAAATTTTTACTGCTTAAAACGTCAATGTTTCCACATGTGAATGGCTCCTTCTCTTCGCAAGAAAGTTCCTCATCTGCTTTGCAAGTAGTCGCAAAAGCTGATAGAAAAACAACCAAGGCGACTCCGTGAAACTTCTTCATGGTTATTTTTTTTGTGTGTTTGTGTTTGTGTTGGATGGAACCTTGTGCTGATCTAGGGTTTATATAGCCATTGTAAAGAATATTGACGTCTGCATTTTCTTGTGGGAGATGTTTAGCTGAGTTGAATCTCGTGGGTCCACCGATTTTGGTTTGCTATCACGAGATCATATCCTACAACAATCGAGTAATTAGCTCCATTTAGTAAAACATTAAGCATATGTGTGATGTGTTCCTTGTCGGGAACATGACTTGGAATACGAGTTGTCTTATATTCAATTGATCGTCCACAATAACGTAGTGCTACATGTATGGAACGAAATAACTAGAACGACATGCATCAAATTTGTAGTAGATAATGTTCAAAACCTATTAAGTTTGGCCATAAATTTTAGATTAAGGCCATAAATATTTTGAAAAGGTCTATGGAAATATAATCAAGTACGTGTTCAATCTAGTGTAGACGAGAAAACTAATTACAATATTGATTCTAGGCCACACTCATCACGAGCCTCGCCTCTCACATTCAGAGCATCTCGAATTGATATTTGGCTGCATGATGTTTTTATCACATGAAACCAGAGAGTACTCTTTCTCCACAAGGAACCAGAAAAAAGATTAAAAAAAACAAGGAAAAACAAAAAGAAAGCTAAGACCTCGATATATTTGTTTTTTTTTTCAAATGGTCATTAAAAATTAATTAGAGATAATTTGTAATCTGGAAAACAGTATTCTTTTTGTAGCTTTCGATTTTTTTTTAATTGTTGCTATTCATAATTAATTGAGAAGTTAATACTCTACTCGCAAGGTCAGGCCCGGATAAGCGCAAATGAAGTGTTACAACCCACAGCCAGACAAAAGTTACCCTGCAAAGTTTGAGTTTTGGGGGCACAGTCGTAGTTAGCAAACGAAAAAGGGGACATGCAATAAGTAGAAAAATTTTACTTTATTCATTTATAAGCAAATCTTTGAAGGGATAAAAATTCAGCAAAAGCCATATTACAAAACTAAAAGAATTGCATCCGTCAAGCGGTTCATAGGCAACACAAAGAAGAAAAACTAAACACCCTAAAAGCAGGATTTGCAAAGAAGAAAGCGGGAAGGAGAAAATGGTGAAGAAAGAGCCGGTGGAGGGAGACGATGGCTATGCCCAAAGGAGACCTAGGATGTCATGGAAAGAAAAGGCGGGCAAGATTGAAATGCAAAAGCACATCCACGTCCGCCAGCACCATATCGTCTTCCGCAACTAAGGATCTCCACCAAGACCGCTTCCCAAACGAAGCATCAGTCCGTTGATCAGAATGCCCGACGAAGGAGTGTGGTCGGAGCTTGAAATTGGAAAGGAGGAACCTGAAGGTGCAGCTAAGCCGAGTGACCACTAAGAGCAGACACGAAGTGAATCATGACGAGTGAGGAACATGGAAAGTATCAGTAACTAAGGAGGAGCTGATGTGGTGAGAGTACTTAAAGAGGATTCATCGTATATTAGCATATATACGAAGGAGTGATTAAAGAAAGCACGGACGTGACGGGCAAGCTAGAAGATATGCGTGTCTAGGGCTGAGTGTTTTTCGGTATTTAAGAGAACCAGGGTAGAAAGAGTTAGGGGGAACACTTTCGATATTCTAATCAGAAACTGCATCAAACCAAAATCGTGGGTGGTGAGAGCTGTGAGGTGAGTGTTTTTAAGACAGGTTCACGCGTTGTGAGATCTGTGCTTGTTTGTATTGTAATTTGGAATCAATTGGGGTCAATCTAGGAGTCTAGACTTGTGTAACACTAATCAAAGTGTAATTTTGTGGTTAACTTTAATAGATACAAGTTTTAATAAAAATCATTCGTCTTGATGCTGTCGAAAACAAAGAAATCAATTGTTGTCTGTTTTCCTACATTAACAGAGCCTTCCTACCATCCATGTATCTCAGCTTAAGATAACTCAGACCTGTCTCAGTAAACTAACCCTCAGCGCAGAGTTAGACAGAAGTTCTACAAAACACCCCGAGTAAACCCTGAAATCAGGCTAACCAAGTATAAGGTGTACCGTTTTGATCACTTAAGCTCAACAAGGAGTTATCAGGAGTGTAAATAGAGTTTTCAGGTGATAAAGCAATAAGAAGTAGTGGAACAGGCGAGGAGTCTAAAGTTATTTTTAATTATTCACAAGCAAGTTTTTAGAGGAATGAAGAATATAAGAAGAGTCCTAGTACAAAACTCGAAGAGTTACATCCTCCAAACGGTGGACGAAATGAACTAGAGAAGAAGCTAAGCGCCCACAAAGAACGTTTGGAGAAAGTAGGGGGCACACAAGAAAACCAACAGCCAACGGATGAAACTACCACTACTATATGATGTACGTTCAGAAGGAGAAGAGACGCCCATACATCATAGAAGGATAAATAGATGAATGGTCACCTCTTTATCCTCCCATCTCCTTCACACGCACTAGATGCTCGTAGCTGTTGTCCCCCTTCACATCTTTGGGCCCTAAGACTAGGGTCCCTTGTTCCCCATGAGTCTATGGTCTCGTATTCATTTTCGAACCTGTGATAGCTGATTGGGAAGAAAGATCACCACCCCATCAGATAGAACTTGTTTTGACTAAATGCACAATGAATGGAAACATAAATTTCGTGATTAGTGCTAAATGATTTGAATTCGAACAAATGATTGATGATGAACATAATGAATCTAAGATCAAGCAATTATATTTATCTTTTTAAGAAAAAATAAGTAGATGCAAATAAAAACTAAGTGCAAAGGATGATTCTTTATAAATTTTTGTTTAAGGATGAATAACTTAAATGATAACAATGGAAAAGAGCAAATAAAGATGATATGATGCAAGGTTTTAACAGATCAGATAGAGACAACCTGAGGCTAAAAGAACTTTGGTTCTAATACTAAAAATGATACAAGCACGGGTCTTTCACTCGGCTGCTACGATCAGTGGACAATAACTGCAGTCGGTCTTCCCACGATATGATCAGATTAGACGAGAAACTCGAGTCTAGCCGGATTGGATGAGATTGTGGAGATGGAGGCGTTGGTTGATACAATAACTGAGAAGAATGGTTAACATATAGGTTGTCAGATGAATGTCGAAGGAGGAAGTATTGTGGACGACAAAGGTGGTACGAGACTTTATGGTCTTAAGAAAAATGTCCTTTCTCTAAACAGTTGTAGAATAAGAATGCGGTATCAATCACTTATGGATAAATTGAGATGCAGCAAATACAATAAGCTAAGTCAAGATGGGGTTTATAAGATGCAAGAACAAGTCTAACAACCTAACAATGCAAGAAATCAAAAGCAAGAAGGATAATTAAGCAAGATGAGTAACTAAGCAATAAACTAAACAAGATGAATGCTGGAAATAATCAAGCAAAGACAACTGAGCAAAAGCGATTTAAGATGATAAATAAAAGACAAGACCCAAGGTTCTAAACAATATTGGTTAAGTAGTTTTAAGAGTGACTAAGGAATTTTCTAAATAAGACAATCAACAAGCATATAACAAGCAAGCATTTCTCAATATTACAATCCTAAATAAAATTAGTGTGTCAAACCCACTTTTGGTGTTGTATTCACTAACCATGATCATAAAGCATAGAACCATATAGTCTAAAGGAAGCACTTAATCAAGCAAACTTCTCTCACTCAAACAATAATTCAAGTCAGCCTATCAATGTTTTGGATTCTCTAGGGACTTAAACAGCTAACTCAACCAATCAAGAACATATATTTCAGCTCAAAATTGCAAATCCTAACAATGCTAAGCAAAAAACAGGATTCAAACAAAAGCATGTTCTTTCAATGCAAACTATCTAGCCATCAAGCAAGAGTCTTGAAGCAAGCACTATCTAGTCCTATACGAATCATCTAGCAAGGCATACTGTCAACTTTGGTGCCACTGAGCAAAGAAACCATAAACCAAGCTAGACTATCAAACCAAATAAGTGAATCATGCTAAGAATAAGACTTAAAACCATTAAGTGAACCATTTGCATCAACAATACCATATTCAATCAAAGGGGAGAAGCTTTATGAACAATAACAACTTCGCAAGAGAAAGAAACAATAGAGATCAAGAGAAACAAGCCTAATAACCCTTACTCAACTCCTAAATAAGACTTTCCCTACTTAGAACCTCAAATATAAGGTAAACTACTCATTAATCATGTTTAAACCCATTAGATTAGAGTTAGACATGATCAGATAAGTTTAAATGCAAAGATAATGAAACTAAGTACCAGGATGCGAAAATCAAAGAACAATAGACAAGATTAAAACATGAAATGCAAGACTTGATTAAAAAGATAAGATTAATACAAAGTTTGGCAAATCGCCCTTTTTGGTGACTAAAGGTTAAGAAAAATATTAGAACTTCTTAGGCATAAAGGAGAATGGTTTGTGGCTCCCTTTTATACTAGGGAACCAAAAAGAAAGTATAAAAAACCTAAAAACAGGATAAATTCAAAGAAAAGCTGGTCAAACAGGCAGATAAAGCATATCGGAGTTGTACGGACGGTGTTCAGCTCGATGCACCACCTGGATATGCTTCGTGTAGACACATATAGGCTTGTATAGCTTTCCCTGCTCGATGCACCACCTCGACGTAGACCAGTGCCTTAGAATCCACGAACTAGTCCTCTTCTTCATGCACCGCGGCTTGCATCGGGCATACTCCACAAGTGTTCTGCTCGATGTTCCTCCTTTATATGGACGCAGACTTTTTCAAGACTCCTTCTTATGGCATATCTCCGAATGTATGCTGCTACATTCTCCTTCCTAAGTCCCAAAACCTCCAAAAACACCAGAAAAACACCATAAACATGCATATGTATGCAATCCTAAACTATATGCATGCAATGTTAATTCTAGATGCAAATGAGACTAAAATGATAAGTAAAGATGAATGAAATGCAGCCTAAATCACTAGAATATAGCAAGCTACAACATCCCCACACTTAATTTTTTGCTTGCCCTCAAGCAAACAAAACATAAATCATAGTGATGAGGTTTTAAAATGGGAACTCATATCTCTAAATTGCTAACAATAAATCAAAATGATGTCCATGTTTCTAATCCTAGAATGCAATTGATGGAACAATACTCTAAACACTTAGCCACTTTCATCACAAAGCAATAATGATCCC